TGAGGGCCCTCCCTGGTGGCAAAAGGTGTTAAGACGCAACCTATGTATGAAGCTATCTGCAGCCATTTCAGCATGAGTTCAATCCCCCACCAGGAAGCTAGCCACATGGGACAGCAGACCTCTCCTAACTTGCCTGCTGTTCCCCTCAGCAGTGCATTTCAATCAATCTGCCTGTTCTGCTCCCCACTCTGTCTCCGGTTAATCTTCTCACCCACCCCCCACCTCTGGCCTGTACCCCAGTTCTTGTATGTAAAAATACATAAATCCTTTTTTTAAAAAAAGATATAAAATGCATATAAATAAAAAAATTTTAAAAACACAGTCTGAGTATGTATCTGTAAACATGTAAGATGTTAGTGGAGAAAATTACAAAACATAGAGCATAAAAAACTGATAAGAGCAATCTGCCTGTGTGTGTGTGTGTGTGTGTGTAATTTGCTTCAAAGGACATTGGTGGATGGGCCTCCCTGGTGGCACAGGGGGTTGAGATGCAACCTATGGGGCTTTCCGCAGCCACTGCAGTACGGGTTCGATTCGTGGCCAGGGAGCTGCCCACATGGCACAGTAGACCTCCCCTATCTCGCCCGCTGCTCCCCTTAGCAGTATGTTTCAGTCAGTCTGCTTGTTCTATTCCCCACTCTGTCTGTGGTGAATCCTCTCACCGCCCACACCTCTGGCCTGTAACCCAGTTCTTGTATGCATAAATAAATAAATCTTCCAAAATAAATTTAAAATTAAAAAAAAAAAATAAAGGACATTGGTGGAACTTGGCAGAATTTGAGTAAGACCAATAGATAAAAGGGGAAACATGAATATACAAACAAAGAAAATGATGCTTAAACTCAACAGTTATCAGGGAAACAAAATCAGACTGACAACTATCAAGTTTTGTTTAAGATGTAGAACTAAAATTCTCTGATGAGGTCAGAATAAACTGGCAGACTACTCCAATGAGGAAAATGCTAGCATTTATAGAGATTCAGGAATAGGGCTAGAGAAACTCATGCAAGAGTTCACAGGAAGGTAGGAACAAAAATGTTCACTAAATACTAACAGTGAAAATTTAGATACCTAAGCACAATGTGGTATAATCCATGGCAGAATACTGTTGCAACTGAAATGAGAATCAGAGCTACCATTATCAATGCTAAATTTTATTTAACACATGCTGTTTAATGCTGTCTTATGGTTCAGTTTTACAAGCTGAAAAAGTTCTGCAGATTGGCTGCACAACAATATGCATATCCTTAACATTACTGAACTGTAATCAGTTAATATGGTAAATTTTGTTATGTATATTTCACAATAAAAGAGGGAAAAAAAGAAAGCTATCTGTTCTTCAGTATAAACATATACAGCAAAAGAATATAGAGGTTTGTGGAAAACATATACCGCAAAATCAGGATAGTGATCACCTCTGGGCATAAAGAAAGGTGTCTAGTACTTGGAAGGAAGCTTTACATAAAAAATTTGTAAATACAGAATTTAAGAGTGCTAGGGATAGGTACATGTATATTCATCTAGTTTCTTCACGTAAAAGAGGAAAAAATAAAAAGGAATTATCAGCTCATATCTGTTAGCGGTTATTATCAAAAAAATAAGAAATAAGTCCTTGAGAGGACATGGAGAAAAATTAGTTCCCACTGTTGGTGGTAATATAAACTGGTGCGACTACTATGGAAAACAATATAGAAAGTCCTCAAAAAATTCAAAATAGAACTACAAACTACCAAATCAGATGCAACAATTCCACTCTGGGTATATAATAAAAAAAAAAAATCTTAATTTTTTAAACATCTTAATTATATTTGAAACATCTCTAAAATCTTAACTACATTATATAAATACATCCATGAATATCCCTAAGGTAGAAGCCAGAAACTCTCCCAGTCTAAGTGCAGAAATCCAGGTTGCACTAACCAAGTAAACTTACCCAAAGTTACAATATAGAAGCTGAAAATACAGGTTGAAAAAAGCACTGCACAGAATCACTTCTTGAAGGATCCAGTTTTCAAGGACATCTAGTTTTCAGAGCATAAGTGTCACAGTTGAGAGACTATCCCTAGTGGAGTGTCAGTAATGTCTCACCAAGAAATGTACTTGATTCTGATGGAATAGCCTGAATGTGCAGCCCCACCAGTTCTGGAAGCCTCCTAATAATATGTAACACCTTTTTTCCAATGAACAGAGAGTTTCTGTTGTTTGCAATCAGATACTAGTTTACTGGTAACCCTAAACATTATTTGTATTTTTTGGTGTACAGCACCAACATTTAACATTTTCCAACAATTCATTTGAGTTTTGTTTTTTTCCCCCAAAGATGTATTTATTTATGTGTACAAGAACTGGGGTTTAGGCCAGAGGTATGGGGAGTGAGGATTCACCAGAGATAGAGTGGGGAGCAGAACAGGCAGATCTACAGACACTGCTGAGGGGAGCAGCAAGTGAGACAGGAGAGTTCTGCCTCCCTATGTGGGTTAATTCCCGGGCCTGCAGGGGATCAAACTCATGCTGCAATTACTGGCTACAGCTTGATAGTGCTGCTGTCTTTAACAAGCCACCAGGGAGGCCCTCCAACAATTCAATTCATTCCATTACACAAAAAAAATATTTTGAAACAGTTTTCCTTTGATGTTATTCTTTGTCTTTTTGGCATGATACTTAATTATAAAAATAGGCATAACTATACAGAAATGCAATGGACCAGCAAGGCTATACACATTTTAAAGTAAGGTATGTATATGAGATAAATATATTAAATATCCACTTAAATGTGACTATTATTTGTTGTTGACCTCATGTGCATAGAACTGATTAATGATGATCATTATTAGTCCACACCAGATATAAGCCCTCTTGCTCACTAATTTAAAAAAAAAAAAAAAAAAGTAGTTCAGGGCTTCCCCTGGTGGCGCAGCGGTTGAGCACTGGGTTGCGAAGCTGCCTGCAGCCTCTGCAGCGCCAGTTCGATCCCCGGCTGCTCCCCGGCCACCGGAGTAGGGTCCCACACGGCGCACAGACTTCTCCTGCCGCCCGCTGCTCCCCTCAGCAGTGCACTTCGGTCCTTCTGCCTGCTCTGCTCCCCGCTCTGGCCCTGGTGAATTCTCTCACCCTCCCGCGCTTCTAACTGTACCCAGTGCTTCCATAAATAAATAAATAAATGAATAAATAAATAAATGAATGAATAAATAAGATGAAAGTAAATAAATAAATCTTTAAAAAAAAAGTTCAGGGCCTCCCTGGAGGCACAAGGGGTTAAGACGCAACCGATGAAAACTGTCTGCAGCCTCTGCAGTACGAGTTCCATCCCCAGCTGGCCAGGGAGTGGCCCATATAGCACAGCAGACCTCTCCTGGCTCGCCCACTGCTCTCTTCAGCAGTGTATTTCAGTCAATCTGCCTGTTCTGTTCCCCACTCTGTCTCTGATGAATCCTCTCACCCCCCACACCTCTGGCCTGTACTCCAGCTCTTGTATGCATAAATAAATAAATCTTTTAAAAAAAAGTTCAGATACAAAAAACAGATTGGAGCCTCCCTGGTGACACAGGGGTTAAAGACAGAGCTATCAAGCTATCACCAGCCACTGCAGCACTAGTTCCATCCCCAGCCAGCCAGGGAGATACCCACATAGCACAACAGACCTCTTCTGCCTTGCCCACGGTTCCCTTCAGCAGTGCATTTCAGTAGATCTTCCTCTTTTGCTTCTCACTCTGTCTCTGGTGAATCCTCTCACCCCACTCCCTCTTCCTGAACTTGTGGCCTACACCCCAGTTCTTATATGCATAAATAAATAAATTGTTAAAAAAAGAAGAGAGATCAGTGGTTTGCGAAGCCAGAGTGAGGGGTGGTCAAAATGGATTGGGGGGAGGCCTCCCCGGTGGCGCAGCAGTTGAGGGCTGGGCTGCGAAGCTGCCTGCAAGCCTCTGCATCACCAGTTCGATCCCCGGCAGCGCGCCAGGGTCCCAAATGGCGCGCAGATCTCTCCTGCCGCCTGCAGCTCCCCTCAATAGTGTATCGTCAGTCTTCCTCTACTGTTTCCCACTCTGGCTCTGGTGAATTCTCTCACCCTCTCGTGCCTCTGACTGTACCCAATGCTTGTATAATAAATAAATCTTAAATATATATATATTTAAAAAAATGGATGGGGGATCAAAAGTTACAAACTTCCATTTATAAAATAAATAAGGCTGTATTTTACACAAGGATGTAACATATAAAACACAGCATGATGACTACATTTAATAATACTGCATAGCATGTCTGAAAGTAACTGAGATAGACCTTAAGTGATCAGATGAAAAGAAAGCTTAACTAGACTTACTGTGATCATTTTTCAATGATCAAACAAATATCAAATTATGTTGTATCCTGAAACTAACATGTTAATCACACTGCAATAAAAATATAAATTAAGAAAAATGGTGGGGCGGGGCAAGGGGTTAAGCACAGCACTGTGAAGCTGTCCACAGCCTCTGCAGCAAGAGTTCAATTCCCGGCCAGCCAGGGAGCTATCCACATGGCGCAGCAGACCTCTCCTGTCTTGCCCACTGCTCCCTCAGCAGTGTATTTCAGTCAGCCTGCCTGTTCTGTTCCCCACTCTGTCTCTGGTAAATCCTCTCACCACCCACACCTCTGGCCTGCACCCCAGTTCTTGTATGCATAAATACATAAATCATAAAAAGAAAAAAAAGAATTCAAGGCTCTTACAGATTGCTGTTGGGAATAAAAATGGTTTTCCCTTTGGAAAACAGCCTGGCATTTTCTAAAGCAGGTATTTACCATGTGACCTAGCAATTCCCATCCTAGGTATATAGCAAGAAGAAATAAATACATGTCCTTACAGAAACTTATGCCCAAATGTTTATAGCAGCAGTATTCACAATCACAAGAGATGGAAACAATCCAAGTGAACTAATGAATGGATAAAGGTGGTATATATAAAATATAATTCAGCCGTAAAAAGGGATGAAATACCAATACACATCACAACATTGACCAACCTTAAAAACATGTACTAAGTGGAAGAAGCAGTTATAAAAAACCACATACTACATTCCCTTTCTGGGAATCTTGCATGACATCACTATGGCGTAGTTTAGGTTCCCTTTCTGATTCGCCATCTCATTCTCTGCTGTCTTGCAGGGTAAAAGATGAGTACACGAGATCAACATCTAAAGGAAGGAGAAATGGCCATGAATGTTCTCGAGGTAAACCTCTCATTGCCCAACAAACAGTAACAAAAAAAAAATCTCAACAAGAGGAACCACCAACTGAAAAATCCAGATATTGAACCTGAGCAAGAGAGAGAAGGAAGAGCACCTGCATTTCAAGAACCTGACTTGGAACGTGATCACCTGGAAATGGTTCTGAAAAAGACTGGGGGTGAAGGCAGTGATGGTCCTGATATGAAAAGGAAGACTCCATCTAATCAAGCACTTACTAAAATTCCAGAATCAGGTGATGGACATTAAGTTAAAATGACAAGCTGAAGCAACACATGCTGTTGTTATAGCAATAAACTGACTTTTGTTATGTAATCTCAATAAAACTCTGCAGTTTATTTTTGAAAAAAAAGATTTATTTACTTATACATACAAGATCTGGGGTGCAGGCCAGATGCGCGGGAGGGTGAGAGGATTGACCATAGACAGAGTGAGGAACAAACAAAACAGGCAGACTGACAAAATACACTGCTGAGGGGAGCAGCAGGCGAGACAGGAGAGGTCTGCCGCGCCATATGGGACCCTCGCCGGCCAACTGGAATCAAACAGGTGCTGTACAGGCTGTGGACAGCTTCACAGCGCTGTGCTCAACTGCCTGCACCACTAGGGGAGGCCCATGCAGTTTTAAAAAAAGACCGGGGCCTCCCTGGTGGCGCAAGGGGTTAAAGCGTCAGCACTATGAAGCAATCCACCAGCTACTGCAGCACAAGTTCGATGCCTGGAAGGGAGATTACCCAAATGGCACAGCAGACCTCTCCTGTCTCGCCCAGTGCTCCCCTCAGCAGTGTATTTAGGTGGATCTGCCTGTTCTGCGCCCCACTCTGTCTCTGATTAATCCTCCCACACTGTCCCCACCTGCACCACATCTCTGACCTGCAACCCCAGCTCTTATACACATAAATCTTAAAAAAAAAACACATACCATATGATTCCATAATTTGGCCTGAAATTAAAGCTGCTGGAAGGGGAAAATTGAGAGATTGGGTGGTTAAGAGCTAAAGGACGTGTGTGTGTGTGTATATATGATATCATAGAAATGATATATAAAAAGTGATATATATCAAAGAAGTAATATATATCACTTTTTGAAGTGATGTTTTAAATGGCTGTGGTATTCACTGCACACATCTGTAAATATACCAAACACCACTGAATTGTACACTTTCAATAGGTGAACTGCATATGTGAATTATATCTCAATAAAGTTGTTTACAAAATAAAATAGAAAAGATGAACTCCCAGAAACCAAATTCAATATTCACCTAAAGCTCCACATCCTAGAAATTTCAGCTTTCTTATGAAACCTTTCATTCAAAAGTGTAGTCAGGGAGATCACCAAGAAACTGACCTTTATTTCCACAGGACACTAAATTTTAACAGACACTTCAAAACCCCTGGAGAGAAAGAGAGTCTAGGTTTCAGTGTTGTTGCCCAGTCTTCCCAGTCCCACAAATCGTGGAACCAAATTGATCCCATTTAATAAATATATAATCTTGTCCAGAAGCACCCTATTTGGTAAAATAGGCAGGAGGAGGAAGATGGGTGGAGAGCACATAGTATTAAATAGTATTTATTAAATCATACACATTAAATGTCCTAAAAGATCACATTATGAGCAATTCGAGAAACATTAAATAATTCATCAGGATGTAATTCCTACTTCTCAGAGATAAGTTTCCATAAACCCCCTCAGAGCACTCCCAAAAACCTGCCTTCCTGTTCCCCAAAATAAGTTCATGGGGGAAAAGTTCAGATAAAAAAGAAACCCTAAGGGAACAACTACATATATATTTTATTTACAATATATATTATGTCTGCAATACCAAATTTGTGTTCACAAGATGGTAAATGTGTAATAATATTTAGTCACAAAAATCAATTTTCCTTAATTTTTATTATTTTCAACATTCACTCCTTAAAAGAACATGTAGTTTTAATTACTTACAAAGCCATTACAAGGGCCTCCCTGGTGGCGCAAGAGATTAAGACGCAGCCTCTGCAGCTGTCCGCAGCCTCTGCAGCACGAGTTCGATCCCCGGCCTGCCAGGGAGCAACCCACATGGCACAGCAGACCTCTCCTGACTCACCCGCTGTTCCCCTCAGCAGTGTACTTCAGTCAATCTGCCTGTTCTGTTCCCTGCTCTGTCTCTGGTGAATCCTCTCATCCCCACCCTCACACCTCTGGCCTGTACCCCAGCTCTTGTATGCATAAATAAATCAATCTTGAAAAAAAAAATAAAAATATTTTTAAAAAAACCACTACACTACCAAATATCTTGTTTTGATCCTAAAAGACATTTATTTAAGAAATATTATTGGGGGCCTCCCTGGTGGCGCAGCGGTTGAGCGCTGGATTGCGAGGCTGCCTGCAGCCTCTGCAGTGCCGGTTCGATCCCCGGCTGCTCCCCAGCCACCGGAAGAGGGTCCCACATGCCACGCAGACCTCTCCTGCCGCCCGCTGCTCCCCTCAGCGGTGTACTTCGGTCCTTCTGCCTGCTCTGCTCCCCCTCTGGCTCTGGTGAATTCTCTCACCCTCCCGCGCTTCTGACTGTACCCAGTGCTTGAATAAATAAATCAATCTTTAAAAAAAAAAAAGAAATAATATTGGGTTTCTACAAAATGAAAGCAATCAAATTTTATAGTACAATACAGAAAAAGCAACAAAAACCTGAAATCAAGCAACTAGCTTTGGACTCTACGTTTAGCTAAAAAATCTTGTAAAAGTCATTTCATATGTAGATTTCCACTGTTCATCTATAAAATAAACTTGGCCTGTATCCATAATATACTTTTTGTATTAGAACATTAGAACTATTTCAATATATCTAGTTCTATACAAGGCCATAACAATTTCTCTACTTCGAGCCTCCCTGGTGGCACAGGAGTTAAAAGTCTCAGAGCTATCAAGCTACTGCCAGCCACTACAGCATGAGTTCAATCCCCAGCCAGGTAGCTAACCCACATATGGCCCAACAGACCTCTCCTGTCTCACCCCCTGCTCCCCTCAGCAGTGTTTTTCAGTAGATCTGCCTGTTTTGCACCCCATTCTGTCTCTGGTGAATCCACCCACCCACCCACACACACACCCTGCATCTCTGGCCTACACCCCAGTTCTTGCATGCATAAATAAAAATAAATCTAAAAAAAAAAATTCCTCTACTTCCATGGTTTGAAACTATGCTGAATTCCCACTTAGACTGAAAACAGCATGTGCTCTTAACAACAGGTAAGACTGTGAATAAGAATATCTCACTTCCAAATTCACTCTTGAAGTTCCATCTAACTTAATAGCTCAAATTTACTTCTTAAAAAATAGCTCTTAAAAAGGCAATTATTTCTGAAGCAAACTTTTGAACATTAAATATTATTCTAAGGCCTCTCCGGTGGCGCAGTGGGTTGAGCACAGGGCTGTGAAGCTGTCCGCAGCCTCTGCAGCACCGGTTCAATTTCCAGTCAGCCAGGGAGATACCCACATGGCACGGCAGACCTCCCCTGCCTCACCGGCTGCTCCCCTCAGCAGTGCTTTTCCATCTGTCTGACTGTTCTGCTCCCTGCTCTGTCTCTGGTGAATTCTCTCACCCTCCGGTGCCTCTGGCCTGTACCCCAGTTCTTGTATAAATAAAACTTTAAAAATATATATTATTCTAGTTTCCTTGTTTTATATCCACATCTTAAAAGTTTGAATGAAACAGCTCCCTAAATAATTGCTAAGTGGAAGTTTCCACATATGGCTCCATAACGCATGATTTTCAGTTTGGTTGAAAAAATCAAGTGGGGCCTCCCTGGTGGCTCAGGGGTTAAATAGACACAGCGCTATCAAGCTATAGCCAGCCACTGAAGCACAAGTTCAATCCCCAGATGCCCAGGGAGCAACCCACATGTCACAGCAGACCTCTCCTGTCTCTCCCGCTGCTCCCCGCAGCAGTATATTTCAGTTTATTGATGTAAAGAGCAAAATGGTTGTGAGAAAAGGATGACAATGTCCTCGAGGAAGGATTCACTCTCTCTGGTGAATCCTCTCACCGCCCCCCCATCTCTGGCTTACACCCCAGTTCTTATATGCATAAATAAATAAATCCTAAAAAAATAAAATTTTAAAAATTATTAAAAAAAAAACACAAGTGCCCCAACAGCACAGTTCAAACTTCAGTTACCATAGTATATTAACTATGAGTAACTGCATAAAGTACAAACTTTCCATAAAGTACCCAAATTACTATATAAGTAACTATGTGTGTAAAGTGGCGAATTATATACCACCTTTCAAGTTTCACCATCACAGTTCACTACACATCTTAAATTCACATACAGACAGCAAAGCACATAATTTTATTGACTCCCGGTCTCTAGTGTAAACCCATACGACACACTAGTAAAAAGAAGAGAAGTCAAAAAAGCAAACTAGGCAACAAAGATGAAAGTGCAGGGGAAAAAAGAAACTGGTAACACTGGAATGAAATTTTAAAATATAAGAGTTAAAGAAAAATATCTAATTAAAGGAATACAGGCAACCCAAAATAAGCAGTCATAGGAACTTGATGAAGGTGAGCTTATTCATGTAAAAGAGAAAGTGGTTGTGAGAAAAGGATGACAATGTCCCAGAGGAGGTGAAAAACCTCACAATAAGGTAGCTCTCAGAGATATTTCTTAACACTGAAAGCACAAAAGGATAAAAGTTGGAAGTTGATCGAAACTTAGAAGTATGACAATTCACCAAGCACAGAAATGATGACTGCTCCACATAAAGGCATTGTTCAAAGTGCTCTTGAGAAAATTTTATGAAGAAATTAATGCTCTAGTTCTTACTGCCTAATGTTTAAATTACAGTATACCAAAGTTTTACTGTTTTTTCATTTTCCAATATACCTGTAACCAGAATTTTTAATGTTTTAGCAAATATTTTCAAAGGTCACAGAATGACTTTTCTCACTTAGTAGCTTTGCCCAGTT